AACGATAGGAGAGCTGCGGTCTAATTTTCGCGGTAAACCGCTTCGTCAAGGGGTGCAATGTTAATGCGAGCCGTTATAGATGAACCGATTCGGAGAATTGACAGCGTAACGGTGTGACATTTTGTGAATTTTAATTCCGTCACCGCAAAACCACTCGCTACTCCTACATCGAGAGACAAAGCAATGCAGATAATCGAAACGGTAATTGTTATCGCGGTCGTTAACACATCGGTGTTAAAGGGGTACCAACGATGCGCGCGCACGTAAACGCATCAATGGAATTGTAAATTGACAATTCCATTTTGGTCGATGACAGAGAGAAAGAGAGGGAGAGAGAGAGAATGTGATTGTACAGTCTTCTTATTGAGTTGCTGCCGGTTCAATGGCGCGTTTAATGAATTTAAGCTTCCTTCTCCACTCGGGCTGCTTAGGTCATACACCGTTTAACCATGCCTCCGTACGTAATGAACTGTGATCCAGGTTGATAATGTACGCGACGCTGCAACACCTCACAGATTTTTATTAATAGAATATCTTTAATGAATATCCTTATCTCGCGTCCCGTAAAAAGATAAATCGATCTCGGGAGATTTTAACGCGGCTTTAATGCAAATTACATACACACCGTCATTTTATTATATGCTATAGTTAAATCTTAAAACACGCAAGAGAGACCTTAATACAGAGCAAAAATGCGTATAATAAATGTATATAGTTGACGCGAAGAGGATATAAAAATTCGACCGTGTTCCATCAAACTGTCGTTAGGATGCCTTTATGGCATAACGGCGGTAACGGGCATTTGTCGAGCTAGAGTACAGTTTGTGCATTCGAAACGATGGTCGGTAGCCAAATGGAGAACGGACCGCTTTTGCAACGCGCTCAACGGTAGGATATTGCCGTACTACATAACGCGTATATGCATTTTGTTGATTCTGGTGTTACACGCCATCGTACCTTGTAATGTATCGTCAAAGTCGCGTTAGAAACGATTATTGTAAAAGTTACCGGGGTAAATTGCCGCAATAAATTCGCATGAGCGTCTTATGGATGCGGAAGTAAAATCGTATCAATGCGTCTGATACGACCAAATTGCACACTCATCATCTATATCTTTCAGAATTTTTTACGTGCAGCAGCAGTAATAGTATGAAAAAAAACTTTGCATTTTGATGCAACATTTTTCTACGTGAATTTTATCAAAATCTCTGCGATCTACTGCGCTATTGCTGACGCGAGTGTGGCTGTGTGATACAAACGTGGCCGCCTGTTGTTTTAACCACGACATGCCACTGTCGCCTTTATCATAGCATGGGCATTGTAGCCGCAACTACTTGATTGTTGTCATTTCGACATCAAAGCGTCGTCAGTAAACAGCGTGTTGCGACCCGAAAGAACTTTTATTCAGTTCCGATCTGCCTTCAAATTCATCTCTATCGATCCGACACACCCTTTTTCTCTCTTCTTTTTTTCTTTCGTCAGAATTTATTTACACGACCATATTATTATTTATACGATTTAAATAATTCGTAAATTATAATATTAGCGACTATAATAGTCATAATTAGTGAATTATAATAAATTTTATTAATAAATTATGATATTAACGAGATATCTGATATTTTATTTAATATATAAGTAAAATATATAAATAAAAAATTAATTTTAATATGTAGCATATGATACATGCTGTAAATAATGTACTGCATATTAATACTTCGTGTATCCATTTTAAAATGCTAATGTACATTTTATTTTTCTTATGTATTTTAAAAATCTAGTCCATTTGATTTGATCTGATCAATTTATATCGAACTTTTGCAATCAGCACGATTAATAACTTTCAGATCGAGGACTAACGGGTTAACAGGGTAGTTCGTCGGCTTTCGTGAGGTTTATTGAGCAAACATTGGCTGAAGTTGCGATTGCGGAACGTCGTATTGCCAAAATCGATCGCTTTAGGCGACAGGAGACTGAAAAGGGAACAATCATTGTGATGCATGCGGTTAGACGTCGCAATTTTTTATTTCCCTCACTGATTCGTCTTGAATTTTTTTTTATTTTCTCTTTTTCACATATGAGTCAGCGCATAAATATAATAAATATTTAATATTATTCCCAAGCAAGTGTGTTTCGCGTATATGCGACAGATTACATTGAAAAGTTAAGTGTAGAAAGTTGGTTACCGTTAGTTTAGGATGATCCGAGGAAGCGCTCGCGAACTCTTGTTTGCTAAGTTATCTCGTAGCATCGATGTTATCAGATAATTCTCGCGATCGATTGATTACTTGCATGTCTTAATAAAGTTCCGAACTTGTACTCTTAATAAAATTAAATTGTAATATAGACGCAAATGCGAAAGTTATATCCTTCCGTTATAATTAACAAAATAGAATACCACAGCAAAAATTATTCGAAATAAAAGCACGAACTGTTTGTTATTAAAAAAATTTTAATATAATTGAATATAATTAAATATAATTAAATATAATTAAATATAATTAAATATAACTTTTTTGACATGATACGGGAAACTCACTGTCCCGATTGTTAGAACTTTCATAGCATTTTATTTTGTTGATACGATACAAAAATATGAACACAGAGGAAACTCCGTGGATCGAAAGAACTTGAAGTATTTACAACGTGTTGCGTTACTTCCGTTTGGTTGATCGGTTTGTGGCGATCATCTCGATCGCATGCTCGTCCACACCGAGTGGAAAACGAGAAAATTTGAGCGCTTCGTTCACATTTCGCCTAGCGATGCCGCGATAGCATACTGATCGTTTCTAGCCCCCGGTGGTGCTCGCAATCTACGTGTCGTAATTTGCTCAATCGTTCGATCTCTTTCTGGTCCAGCAGTCTTTCCCTGCCAATCGGCCGGATCGCGCTATCGAGTGGGCGGATAGAACATTAGTTATCGGTAACAAGCGCGCGGAACAAGTACGTTACAACGTACCGAGGGCATGTTCTACACAACCATAAAGTGCGTCACACCATACTATTTGTGCAAATCTCACCGCGCCTAGGTGAGGATTTGTTTATCGGTTCGTGGACAAGGATGCTGAACGGACCATATCGAAACAGATCGGATTCGTCTGTGATCGAATTTTCCAATACCTATGTAAACCTTGTGCAATTTGCGGTTATTGCCGATATCACGGGTATCTGTGCGATTTTTCAGCGGTAGCGATTGAGAAAAATAATCGATCGATCGCGACGAGAAGAATAAATCCTTCTCAATCCGATTGAATAATTGAATTAGAAAGGATAAATATTCCTCGCATCTCCCTGACCGTTTTTGCTGACGCGGCTACTCCGTTTTTCAGCGACGCGACAGCGTTTACTTTCGGTTTTCCGGTTACCGGAATTTCTCTTACGGTCATCTCCCTGATTCGCGCTGTCTCGTTGATTTGTACGTAGTTTCGTAGTTTGTCTAGTTTAAACAAGCGAGCAGGTAGAGAAATACGGCAGACTTTTATTCGATGCCGCAACTCGTTATCAACGCCGACATCTGCGCCAGATGGTGAAATAATTTGAAACTTGCGGATAAGCGACAGGTCTTCGGTTACCGCGTAACCGAAGGAAGGAAAACTGAAAATTGCTTGTCCCTTCTTAGTTGCGCAGAAGAGGCGAGAGCACAAAGGTCCCTTGTCCTTTACCGGGACGAAGCGAATCGGAAAAGAGGGAGAACGCTGTACGTGGAAGGTGACAGCCAGTGAAAGAGCCGCTACGGGATGTAGAGAAACTCCGAACTTGTCGATAGATTCGTTAGAGCGAAACCGAGGGATGGTTCTCTTGAAACCGGGCCGACTGTCGAGACGCGCACATCGTGTTTTCCACCCCGAATTTCCGGCCAAATTGAATCACGCGGAATTTCGCGGTAACAATCTTCTGTTTGACTTCGAGCGACCGGTTGATTTACTTCGTACTTGGGATCCGCGCGTCCTCGGTAACCGCACAGGGCCTGGCGATTTCATTTCTCTCATTGAACGGTTCCCGAGCTTCTTCAGCACATAACTTGATCACGTAGATTGAGAAGATCGCGACGCAGCAGCCATATCAATTCCGAAGGATAACTTCTTGTTAGTAAATTTTTGCGAATGCATTATTGACATCATTCTCTATTGAAATAATCAAATTTGATATATTTATACGTGAAAAACCTATATTTAATAAGAAGCACAGGAATACATATATTCCGATACTTTTATATCATAATAATTTATGATGTTTGAGATATTATTAGATTGTTTTAAATTGCCTTTTTTTAAAATGAAAACGTTTATCGACAAGGTATAAGGGTGAAACCAACGCAATGCATTTATAATATTGTAAATAACAATGCACGAATGCATTATTCATAAGTCAGCGCATATTTTTGATTAAATTACCTTAGAATTTCCAGATGTCCTCGTTTTCGCAAAAATGTCCTCCAGTTAGAGCATCCATGTGGATATTTCAATTTATCCTACTTTCGTATATTTACACAGTCTGATTAAAAAAAATTTACATGTACTTTGCTTAGATTTGCCGCTGTGCTTTTTGTACAATTTCAATCTCACGTGGTTTGTCTGAAGTTTCATATTGTAGCTTATTCGAAAAGGTGCGATTCCCTAGCACAGCTTACACGTGGTATGGCACGCACATTGATTTCTCTATCGTAGAATGTTCTGTGTACTGCAAACTCAAGTAGAACAGAGGCAGAAAATTAGAAGTTGGCTTCACAAGGCATCCTGAGGGAATCGTTTGATTTGGCAGGAACATTTGATGTTCGAGTAGACTGACATTTACTGATGTTTGACAGTTTTACTTCGTGTCTGTATTAATTACTACGTACTCGATCGTTTACGTATCCATGTTTTCTGTAATACAATACAAGACGTCGACGATTAATTCATACGAGATTGTTGCGTGCGTTAATGATTTATCTGTCTTGTACAACATTTTCATTAAAATGATGATTTTAATTTAAATATATTTGTTTCTTGTGTTTGCAGTAGTACCGGTGCTTACCAACTTTGAGAATAGAGATGAGTTGAGGATTGACTACGATGTTGAGTTGTCTTTCGGCCGTGGTGGCCTCCATTTTGGTTCACCAGATACGTTTTCTGTGCACCGCCAATACCTTGGGTAAGTTATAAAAAACTATTCTTATAATATAGAGGAGGCTGCTTACAACGGTAATAATTTTTATTATTGAATAAATAATTGCTACGGTAAATTCAATGAATACAAACGTGAGGCTAATAGAATTAAGGAATTAGGAGCGTGAAATATTGAAAAGTGAATTTAATGATACATGTGTGCACGATATTTTTACACCATTGTTTTTACTTAGAGAAAGTTAGTTTTTTATCAATGAAAAATATGGCAGGCGCAATTGCCGGAAAAGGGAAAATCAGATTATATTCGCTGAATAACGAGCCATGAGCTGAGCGGTCGATATCCAGACATTGTCCTATAATTTTCCAATTAAGGCATTGGATTCTCATAAATCCATGAGCACGGACGGCTTCCATAAATTTGACGCCGTACCGTACGACAAACCGCGGTTGAACCGACGTACTTTTAGATTCGAGGCGGCTTTTACAACGGTTGGTTGAAATGCTGAAATTGAAGGGAAAGAAGAACGACGAGAATCGTGCAATTGGTCACGATACTTCTGAACGGTACGAAAGTCTGTTTTCCTTTGGCAGAAATAATATAGGGCACTTCCGGAATGTATTGGATTTGGGCGCGAGAGCTTGCTGTCTTTGTAACGCGAAAATATATTACAACAGGGCATCTTGAGAGAATTCGTCGAAAAATGCTTGTCCTTATTTCTAATGTACATATTCTATCAAAGTACCGAGCCAATTTTATTGTCAACGTTGCCAATTCGTTGTTGAATCAATCCATTTCCTTGTGTCCTTACATTTAATTAGAGTTTAATTTCAATTATAATTTTCTTCTCTCGTTTACATTGTTCTTCCAAGATTCACATGAATTTTCTCACGTGAACCGTTAAATCATTTTTACCGACGATTTCTTTCAGATACACGTTATTTTTTGCGTCGAGACGTAAATCGCGTCTGCTAAAGTATCTAAAGCGTATTTCGAAATCCTCGTTCGGAGTTTATCTCTGCCGTAGAGATTATGTGCCTCGTCTTTCTAGCGGATATTAGAAGTCCGTTCGCCTCATTCCTTTTCCGGAGCGTCTCTCTGCAGCGAGAGAATTCAACTTGTTAGATTGGTGTAAGCACGGGGAGAGGGTCCTTTTGCAGTTACCAGAGCTGATATATCTCCCGAGGATTATCCCATCGTTCTACAAGAAATAGTTAGGGCGAGACCTTGAGGAACGAGGATGGGAAAGCAGCGGGGAAAGCGAGGCAATTCGTCAAGGCAAGGCGGAAGGAAGCTTGCTCGTCGCGCGCGAGGGCGATCAGCTGAGAAAATAATTTTAAAGTGCATCTTTCTCACATAGTCGAGATTTCTCGGATCCTTGTGGAAATGAGAAAAGGCTCCCCGGCCAAGTCTCACCGACTGTTGAACCGAGTTCGTGCGAGGCAGCCGGCTCGCGGAGAGAGCTAGGACCGTTCGAGAATCGTCGAGTTTGATGGAGAGAGATATTGCCATTTCCCCTTGCGTGGCCTTCCCGAATTCTATCGTGGTTTTCTTTATTTTTCTACACTCCTCGCTTGTCTCTTCCAGCGGCGCGGCCTTTAGAAGAGACGAGATTGCACGCTTTCCCGGTATCGTCTCGAAAAACGACGACGTCGCTGGGAAACTGGCTTTATTACCTCTTTCTGTTCGATCTGCGCATACTGTGCCAAGCTATGTAAAGCTATGCTTATAAGACGCCTGGTGTCTTCGATCGCGCGCGAGAATAGATATGACGCGGCTGCAAAAATTCTACCGAATAGCGTTGAAATGTAACGATATAACATTATCGTATTATCACTTGATCTTTTTTGCCATGGCATATTGTTTATGATATAATTAAAAATCTTAGCTAATTTTCGATAAATTTCCGAGTCTTTTATATATTTATTAAACTTTGAGAATAGAAAATTAAATATATAAATTGGTACAAATGGCAATATGAGTCTAATGTCGATATTATTACACCGTTATTTATTATATTATTACACCGTTATTTATTATATTATTTATTATATAAAGAAACAATCATATAAAACATTCACTTAATAAATATTTATCCGTTTATATTTACGCTGAAGATGACCCAAAAATAGGGTCGAAACGTTCGCAATCCACTCATATGTATATTTATTAAATGAATATTTTTATATGATTGTTTCTTTAAATAATAAATAACGGTGTAACAATATCGACGCTAAACTCATATTGCCATTTGTACCAATTTATATATTTAATTTGATATTCGTGAGTCTGACATTTTTAATAATTTTGAGAATAGACTTTTTTCTTTGCAAATAATTATTTATCTTGTATTACGATAATTTCTACTTCGATAGATATACACGCATAATACGACCATTGTTTGCAACATATCTCGTAACGGGACATTTACTTTTGTCATATGCGTCTGTATGAATTTCCGAGGAAATATTTATTCAGTGCAACGTAATAAAAACAAACAAACAGTATTCGTATGCGTTCTAGCACGTCAAAATTATTTCGCGCTTTTGCATTTAAAATGAAAAAACACATGTGTGTTGTTGCCAATTTATGTTAGATTTTAACAAATACGATTTTATATATTTATTCTGTCGCATTATAAATAAAATATTTCAGTAAAGTGATATTTCTTATTTAATTTATTATAAATAAATATTTTTTAAAGAGTTTGTTATAATGTTTTTGTTATAATGTTTATTAATATGTATGTTTATTTCATATAATATATAATAATATAATAATATGATAATTATATAATAATATAATAATTAATGTTAATATAATATAATTATAATATTGATATAATTAATATAATATAATTATAATATTAATATAATTAATATTAAAATTGTTATAATCTTTCTATTATAATGTTTAAGATAATAATAATGTTATGTTATATAATGTTTCTGGTGTATTTAGAAATTTGCCATTGGTTACGCAGCTTTATAAGGAGAATATATTCGCGTGTATCATCTCAGAAAGTTATACATAGTCGCGTGTGCTTCCCGCTGATAAGGCCATTCAACGTGTCAGCAAGTAAAAGGATTCGCTTTGTCATGCGTTGCATTAGAATGGAAAGTGAAATCTTTTCCAATATCATACATAAGCCGTATTATTTTTTCGAATGTAAACTTAATCTTTCGCCGATTTTGCTTTTCAGAATGGAAATGCGAATATTTGCATTTTTTTAAGTTTTCTATTTTATCGTCGATGAAAAAATCTGTATCTGTGTAAAATGTAAAAACAATAATTAATGTATCAGAACGAAGAAGAGGGAAGAAAAAGAAATGTAGAGAGAAAAAATAAAGCAAGTTTTTTTGCTTAGCTTTTATCTTTTTTTCGTTCTTTTATTAAAACGTAATTTCTGTTAATGAGAAAAAACATGCACATACATGATTGTAAAAAAATTTATAATTTAGTAAACACAATAATTAAAGTCAATATTGTTCCGTTCTGATTCATCTCTGAATGAGCGATAAATGAGAAATAAATGCTCAATTGTATGTCAACATTGAGCAATTAATGGATACCAGGGGATTTTTCACTCAAGATGATCATTTGATGTGCTCGTTTTTCTCAGAACGAACCATATAGCACATCAAGGGATGCAATGGATGCTAGGGCTCGTTCTAACTATTAGCTCATGCGAAAAACGCATACGGTAGAAGTATCTACAAGAAACCAATCCGACTGGCAAGAAACGTAGACTTAACTGTTCCTGAGGGAAAATATGCACGTCAGCATTAAAAAAGAAACGTTTTACAATAAGAAATCACTAAATTTAATTTAACTTAAGAAATATCTAAAATGAAAATAATTCGCTAACTTTTATCAGAAACTGAATCTTCTTTCATTTCAGAAAAATTAAAAATTTCTCTGTTTGCTGATTTGAGACACTTGATATCTCACTTTATCTATTTACGATTGGGTTTCTGTCTCGATCTGAAATTTTTGTTATTTTTTTTCGTAGTTTTCCTAGTTTGCGTGAGTTTTTTTATTTACTTTTTTTAAAATATTGAATCCGTTGACTGTGAAAACAGGAGGAGAATATTCTATTTATTTTACACATGTTAAGCTACATATTTATTTTAGACAAAATTTGATCATAAATTAATCCTAAAATAATTTCACATATTTTTCACTATTTAAAAAAAATTTCTCTCTTTAAATTTTGTTACAGGTGCGAAGCCGTTTCCAGGATTTGAAAACTTACCGCGCTCAATTTGGCATGAACTTAGTTCACCTTTCACAGAGGTAAGTTGCATTTATTGTCAGACTTTTCGAGTTGCTAAATTAGAGAGAAAGCTCAATGTGTAATATTTAAATTCTCTCTGGAGAAAGTCTCGTTTTATTTTCAATGTTGTATGTGCATATCACTTTTTGAAACAATGTAAGTTTTTTTTTAACATTTTAATAAGATATGAATATAATATACATTGACCTTAATAAAATTGTCGAAATTATATTTTAAACAACTGATATAATAACATTTTTATAGCATATTAATATATTTTTTTATATTTAATATTAGTCTTTATTATATTTTGTGAATAATTCTCTCGCCGCAAAACACGTTTATTAATATAGATAAGTTTATTCGTGTCAACAAAATATTTACGTTACAAGTTGTTTTTATGTATAAATCTTTAAAACGATAAATATACAACACGCTCGTACGGTGAACGTTTGAGCATTTCATATTTACTGTTTACTGTATTTTGCATGAAGTTATTATGTGTATTTAGGATTAACTACGTAGTGGTTATAATTCACATAGTTTGTGTCGTTTTAAAAGCAAATTCTGGTTTCTTTAATTATATTACAAACATTTTAAATAATAGAAAGTGCGCGGATGTAAATTTCGATGCATTTTTCACCGTAGGTGTATGAAGTGGAGAGTTTCGTGACTGAAACAGGCGGCACTCCTGAACCGAGGCCATTTTTCGAGGATCCCGAAAGCAACATTACTGTACAGCTTGGTACTCAAGTCTACATGCACTGCAGGGTACAAAATTTACAAAGTACCCTTAAGGTAAGTTATATGTTTTTATCTTTCGATAATATTCACCATAATATATAAACTTCGATTCATGCAGTTTTTTATTGCGTAATCGAATATATAAATATTTCTGATTAATATTTTAAAATTCGTATTCATATATAAATCTTTATATTATTTTATAATGTTATAATTATTTTCTAATATAAGGAAGAATGATATTTTATTGTTAAAAGCTTTTCAAAACATTTCCGTAAATAGCATACGAGTATGTATACATAAACGAATATGTATACATAAACGTACGTATGAATGAACGTAACATTTTCAACGTATGCGATGTTACATTTTCTTCTAAAATTCGGGCACTCTACATTGTTTTATGAAGAGATCTTGTTGGTTTTCTCATCTCCTCTCTCTCATGTGCAGCTACTATAGCGAGGCACTTAGCTCATCTTAATTCTCCCAAAGGAAATTCCACGGATAGCGGTGGGATATTCCTTTCCTCCCAATTTTGTGGCTATATACTGCTCTATCACCATGATATAAATAGCAGTTATAATATCTTTGCGAACTCTTTTGTATTTTTTAAATAGATCTTGTATATATTTATTCAATTTTTTTCTACGAGAAGTTAGTTTGTCTAAAAACATAAATTATTATTGCATATTTTAGGGTATCTCGCGTTAAGAAAACATTTGAAATCAATATATGAATAGATTAGTTCGATATTTTTAGCTAATTATATTATTTATTTTTAGCTAATTATTAATTATTTTTAGCTAATTATTAACTGCTATGTGTCATATGTTAGTATTTTTTTTTCAAATTTCGTTATATAACTAAGTTATGAATAAATGTGAATGAAAAATTATAAAACTGGATTTTGTGAAATATGATATGATATTAATATTAATATTAATGTCAGTAAAATTTTGCAAAGATATTGAAAATTCACAAGTAATAAACTAAATAAATTATATATTGCTCATCTCCAACAATTGTTTTTCCTCGGAGCTCTTCTTCTCTTATTTCACCGTTCTCTCATGAAACTTACATGATATTTATCGAAAACATAGTTAATTACGATCTCGCGCACGTTAATTAGTAGAATATGATAGTTGCTTGATGCATAGTATTCTCAATATTGATCTCACATGATGCAAATCGTATTATATTATGATGAAAGAGCAACGTGGAAACTATGCGAAAACTATGATTCCACAAGCATTACGATCCGCTAAATATCCGAAAATCTCGTTATTAAATTCACACGCCGCTGGTGATTCTAACAAATAATATATATTTCTTATATATATGCTTTTACATTGATTATATTGTATTGTAATACAAATGTAAAGAAATACGCGAATTGAAATTAAAATTCCGCATAATTTAGTACCTGAAAATACACGTCTCTCTGATATACGTTACTTACTATTGGCGCGATAGATTTTGATCGAATAAATCACGTAAAATATGTGACACATATCTCGCGAGATATACCTACTATTATTAAACGGTCGATATATTACGTTTTGCTATTATTTGAATCATTCGATTTAGCGTATATATTATTTCGCGTTCTGAATCCGAACTAATGGAAAAGATATAATTAAAATAAAAAATTCAAAGCGCGTAAATATAATTTTGATTCCAAGTATACTTAAAATGATTATCGTAATAAATAATTTATAATTCGAAGTATCAGAAAATGGAAATTCTTACAACTGCAATAAAATGTTTAATTTAATCTGTTCTTTTATCACGTTACATTTTTCCGTGTAAATGTGATTTACATTATGTTTTAGTAATATATTTGTTAGTCTCATATAAGGTAAAAAGGAAAGTCTTTTTCTCTCTATTTTAATAGTGTTTAATATATTCGCGAACAAAATTTATTTATCTCTCTTTTGGGATATTATACGTATATGTGTGTGTGTGTATGTATATATACATATAATATATTTTTATTTATTTAACATATTGATTTATTCAATAGACAATTTTTTGAATTTAAATGAAGAAATTTATTAGAATTAATTATATATTATATATATTATATATAATATATATATATATATATATATATATATAATTTATTTATATATAATTTATTTATATATATCATAGTCATCTATAATTAAAGTTTCTAGATTTCACAAACACACGCAAAAATAACAAGATATATTTATAAATATATTTTAATGGAGATTCTTTTTCTCTTTCTTTCTTTTTGATATTTATACCAATATTATTTGTAATAATGATTTATATAAATAACAATATTATTAGGATAAATGTAATAATTTCGGTATATAATAATACCTATATATAATAATAATAACAATCTAATAATAATAAAGCTACCTAATAAAATAATAATAGTAATAATAATAATAATAATAATAATACAAATCATTCTCGCTCGAAGCTTTGTGGTTTACTAATTTCTGGAGGCAAACGCATTTGCCATTTATATAATGTTTCTTCGCATGATACTGTTTCTGATCGATATATACCTATCGAGCTTAAAGCTATCTAATCTCTGACATATAAACGTAACGACAGCATTCAGCAGAAACTAGTAGTCGTGAACCTTTGAAACAGTTTCGAACTTGATATTGCTGAAGCTCTTAAGACAAGTAGCACTTTGCTGTCAGCAAATACCAATATTGACACAATGACAAATAATTTCGCTCTGACTTTGTAAGGAAAAAAATATTTATTTGCAATAAATTCATAAATGTTGAGTTCTCTATTCTATTTTTTAAAATTACTATTATTAATAGTTTTCTTTCGTGAAGTTTCACTTTTTTTATAAATGATAGTTATTAAAATTCATATTAAGGCACGCGAATCACTCATCCATCTATTTAAACTACAAACCACTTTATATGGGAAATGCACGTTTGTCGATACATCGTTTATCATAAAAAAGAATAGCGTAAGTGCACCGTTACATTTACGATGTATCGTGATCTATAAATCGTTGCTGAACTTACCAATCTCTCGAGCAAAGCTCGAGTCGCATAGGAAGCATTCACAAACAGTGTAGTGGAACATTTCGCTCGTTGGTTCGCGAGTGCTTGAAATTCAATCTTTCTAAGTGGGAGTGCGATGGGTTGGGTGAAACAAGTTGTTTCATATAGTGAGATGAGAATTGTATACATTTACCTGCATCATTTCGAATTTTTGAACTCGATTTAAGAATTGATTTAAGAATTGATTTGTGATTTCTTTTTAATTTATTGAGAACATATAAAATAAATTAAATAATATTAACTTTACACGTTATTACGAAATTAGGATTGTGATATCATGCCATATTACATTACGCAAATAAATATATTAAATTAAAATTCTAATAGACACACATGTCTAATCGATAGATGATTAATGTGTGCTTTTCTTTATAAAATATGCTAAATATTCTCAAGAATATAGAAGGGGTCTTTTAAGAGGAATTTACATCATGATCGATATTATCATACTGACTTTATCGTAAGAAATTTCCCGTCTTAACAAAAGTTAATTATTCCTAATATTTATGAAGCACAAGTCTAGTCAACATTTTATATACATATAAAATTTATATATAATTTTATATATATATATATATATATATATATATATATATAATTTTTGTATTTAATGTTATAAACCTTAAATAATATAAATCATGTTATAAATAAATATTATATACATGATGAGAATTTATAAATATTTTATTATTAATAATTTATTAGATTATATTATATATACATATATCACATAAATAATAAATTTTTGATATATTTAACGAAAACGGAAAGTTGTTCACTTTATTTTGTTTGACGAAAAAACAACTATGGGCCAACTTCATTAATAGTAATAAAGACCCATTTCTTTTCTTACGATCAATAATGTTAATAAGACGGTTGCTACTTTCTAATGAAGAATCCATGAATTTGCTGTTCCAGCTGTTTTATTCTCAGTCGCCTAGTATCGGGCGAAGTACGAAGAATGATTGACTAAAACTACTTAAAGACAGCCCATGTCCGTAAGCTTCCATCCGTTGGCTGATGAAATAATCAATTTATGTAAAATATCTCGGCGTGTATATTTTATCGGCATATTATGTACACAGTTATATCAAACTACTATTTTATTCTCATTTCATTTAAGATTTTATAAATTCGCATATATACGCTCAAATGAAAAACTTGTGTTATATTCATATGTTAATCAATAATCTCATTAATTAATTTTATCCTCTGATTAAAACAAAAAAAATATTTGCAAAAATTATTTATATTTCATAATCAATTGCATACAATATGATTTTAATTACATACTGTTATTCTTTTCGAAATTATTTCTTTATGAGATTTAAATTATTAAGTGTGAGAATCGTAAATAAGTAAAATAAATGGGTGTATATAATTTGAAGTTACTAGTGCGATGCAAATAGCTGCGGTTCCTATAAGCAGAACTTCCGTACTTTGAATTGTCTCGAAGTCGTTTCGAACTTCTTCCCGTTTTCGCGACTTTTTGTGCATATAACGCGTGGGTTCACCAAACTTTTAACGGCATTCTCGTCTCGCCATATTCAAGTTTATAATTAGCTCAACGAAAAACTACTAGTATATTAATTATAAGCGAGCCGAGACTTTCCCGATATCTGATCTATAAATTAATGCATCGCTGAAACAAATATAAGTAGTCGTAAATAAAAAAAAAAACATTGCATTTAATACATATGTAAAGAATATTGTTACTTACAATCATATATGTTATGCAAATAATATATCATTCTTTTTGGATTAGTAAATCTGATATTCATATTCATATAAATCTGTATTTCATAAATTATATAATATTCGTTTACAAATATTCATATATTTTATAGTACATTTTATTTACAATTAGTATAACATTAAATTGTTACATGTGTATTACTCTTTGAGAATTATTAATGTATAGCGCGGTAGATTGAATACATCGAGATACATTCGACAAATTTATTTGCGTTATAAAATAACATGCATTAA